GTAAGTTGTTTAAGTTACTTCGTTTTATGTGATAATACTTTCTCTTTAATTCTATAAACAGACATAATTTCTTGTTCAGTTACAGAGTTCCGCTGTTCAAGTCCCGTTAATTGCTGTGCCGAGAATACCGACTAACTTATCAATCGAAATTTTTTCGTTTTCACTAACCTCTCTGTCACATTCTTCATATCTTTATCCATTTTTTGCAGCAATTCCACTTTTTTTTTTTTTTTTTTGATGGACATCAAAACATACTTTCGTTTTGTACGATCCTTTGGGAGCTCCAGAATCGGAAATTCTATTTGACATAATCGAAAGTTCAAGTTTACTTTTATAATATTGCTCTTACAGTCTGCAAAAAATAATAAACCGGATACAATTCGAAGATTAAGGAACAACGCAATCATCAACATTAACTGAAATAGATAATTTTAGCTTATACCATCCGTTATACATAAAACGCGCACGCGAAAACGTATTCTGCGCTTGCGCACAAGCATATGCGCAGTCATAAAAGGTCTTACGCGCACGCGTAAACGCCTATGCGCATGTGTCAACGCGGCGCATGCACAGAAAGTTTTTAGCTTTGAGGTCCGGATTATGGGTGTCCGAATTAACGACTTTTGACTGTATGTAATAAATTAAGATTTTTTGGTGGGAGAAGGGAATAAAATCAAACAATTCTACTATAGATTGATATTGTTAAGATGTGTAATTTTATTGTGGAAGAAGCTTTGAATATTTCCTGTAAATATGTGCATGAGCACCTCTCTGTCATATTGTAAACATATTGCTAAACATAGTTGTAAAGCTTTCTGTGTAGACCTTTATTTTCCCTTATACAATTACTTGTGGCATTTATAATCAGCTATATGCTGCTGTGCATATGTAGTTTGTTGCTGTACACTGGACCTTTATTTAAATTTTGTGAAAGGAATTTTGAATTGTGCTGTGTGTTTATCAGTAAAGCATTAAAATATCTTAAACTTTGTATTTTACTCTCTCTATTAAAGCATGCTTAATTTACATTTAGTCATTTTCTGAAATATTAAAATAATTATTAATGAATGGAAAATAAATTAATCTAGTGAATATAAATTTTATTATAATTTAATATTAATACGAATATAGTATAAATTTTTATATAATTCAATTTTACTAATGTATATAATCTGAATAAAGCCAGTGCAATTTTAATAGAAAATAGAAGTGAATTTTATAATGTTTCTGTACTAAGAATAATCTTTTTATTAATTTAATACTGGTTAAAATTCTTGCTAGTGGTGAGGTTCAGTAAAATAACATTTGTTCTGTTATGTAAATAGTGAATATTTTTTAATGTGAGTGCATTAATACTTCTCCTATATTTATTTGTTAATATTGCATGTGTTTTCTTATTTCAGTAGAAATATCAGAATATTTTAGTAAACTATACTTTTGTTGCTTTGAAGCATAGGTCTGTTTATCTTGTATTTTTCTTTCTCTCTTATTCTTTAAAACAGAGTTTTTCAACCTTTTTGTACTTCAACACATCCTAAAATATAGGTGGGGTGGCAGGCTCACTGAATCTTTCCTCTGAATCTTATAGGTTCACATAGTTAATAATATAAATAATATAGAAAAAAGAACTATTCTGATATTATAATTTTAAATTATGAATTTTAAATTATTAAAATTTAATTAAAGTTATGAATTGTATCCTTATGTAAGATTAGTATTGACTAAATAGTATAGATATAAGTTTGATATTGAGCATTGCATTTCATAGGCCATTGCTTCATAATTACCATGGTGATATGTATAATGATATTCCTGCTCAGCAGCAGTCATCAAAATATTCGTCTTTAATTCAAGATCTATACTTTGTTTTGTGATATTAATTGTTGAAAATAATCATATGTAACATTTTTTAATTTTTAATAAATAACTGGCTCTAAATGACAAATTGGCCATGGGACAACTCTGATCAAACCGGGTCATCTGATAAGCCCATTTAAAGTTATAAACATATAATTATAAATAAATTTTTTAATCAAATACACTTATTTAAACCCTTCTATCTATAAAAAAATTATGTAACATTTTAGTGAAAACATAACTAATTTTGTTAGCTTGGTTGCACAGCACAAGTAAAACTGTTGGTGGGCGCAACAGTGCCTGCGGGTATAGGGTTGGAGACCCCTATTTTAAAAATATAACCAATTAATGTTGTGTAGTATTTTTTATAAATAAAGTAATAAATAAATTTTACTTTTGTAAAGAATAATAATGAACTTTTTATATATGATATATTCTTCGAAAATTGTATTATGTAAAATTTGTGTTATATCCTGAGTTTCATAAATTAAGAAACAATCATGAAATAGTTCTATCATTTTTCTAATATTAAAAGATAATATTAGAAAAACGATATTACTAGAAAAAATTACTTTGTGGGCTTTGGGAAATAGGTAAATTGCATCATGAACTTTAAAATGGCTTAAAGATATTTCATTAAAAGAAATTACCTATAAAAAACTTGCCCCAAAAGGTGGCATGACAATGCAGTAGGTGAAGTTCATCAATATAAAATGTGATCAGCTCTAACAGCAATGCAGATGCTGTAGTGATTTTGATTATATGATTTAATGTGTTCAGTAATGAATAATGACCATTATTCTCTATATATGTTCTCTGTTGCTATTAACTGGGAGTTAGTGAAAATAAATATCTTCCTAGAATATACTGAAGATGCTTCATCTGATTCAACTATAATAACTGATGATTATTAAATTTTGATTCAAGAAATCAAGTATCTCAGTGTATATGTACAAAGGTCCGTTAACACTTTGCGGGCCATGCATTTATCGAAGCGCCGTAACGCTGCCGCCGTTTCACGCAGGTTCTACTGCTTGCCAATGGTGATATTTACGCAATTTTTTGAAACATAAGTAGTTGGTATATAATTATTATTAAAGAAAGCACTAAAATAACTGTTACACTATTTTTATTCCGTTTTATTTCAATTATATTTTTAATTAGTACTAAAACGTTTTATTTAAAAAAATTTTAACTCCTAGGATCCATAGTTCTTTTCAGTATGATAATTCTGAAAACATTTCCAACATGCAGAGAAACATTGCAGGAAGAACACATGTATGCAGTGGAACTTCTTTTCTTGGTGGCAGTGCAGACTTTACAGGCCCTTTCGCGGGTTTTCAATTCTTCCATTACCACTAATACGTGTTATTCTATGTTTTCTCATGTCTGTAGTAAGACTGCCAGGTGGATCAAACCTCGGCGATCTTTTATCACATTGAGCAGCCGATCTTGATTGTTGCTCCTCTTCATTCCTATTAATCCATGCTAGTGCAAGGTTTAGTAAAAATTGTTTGAATCTAATAGAATTTTCAGAATTTTTTATGTATGTCTGGAACGCGTTGAGTAATGCACAGTTTATGAGCTATAAAGCCCTTCCCCCCCCTTTTTTGTTTTTGTTTTTTGTTTTTGTTTTGCGAAGTAGGGAATAACACGATAAGTATTGATCGGCGTGATCAACACCTTTCATAAGTTTATTATACTCTTGTATGCAAATTGGTTTAATGCACTTCTTTTTGGTTCTTTTACTCACACATTCGACCATGTCTGCTGAATGTATAACCGTTCGAGAGCAAAAGTCACGCCAGCGTGACAGCGGCCCACAAAGTGTTAAATTTGTTATTCCACTCGTCAAGCTCTCTGTAGGTGAGAATAGGAATCTTTAGTTAGATGTTAGAAAGAATAGTCTTGTAATAGAAATGTTTTTCCTATTGAACCTACATAAAGACATTTCTAAAGGTTCAGAATATGTTTTTGTGCTTTTTAATGTTGAGGTTTTAATTTATCTCCACTCCTGATCCCCATAAAGTTGTTTGCCTCTAAAATACATGTAACCTATATCACAACAACCTCTTTAGAATATCATTTGCTAATGATAATTCTTTAAATATTGAATATCTCTTCATGTCATTTCATATCATGTTATGCCTGATAACACATTGCCATTAGTATCTGGACCTTATATGTGAACATGGAACTTCCGCTGATCAATTAATTTTACATGACTTTGTGTCTAATTCTACACCTGTCTGTTGTTATGTCTAATGAGGAATTTACTAGATGCTAAATGTAAAAATAAATGTTCATCAAAACTTTAAAAAAAAATTTTAAAAACTGACACAGTGATATTGATTTATGAGAAAGACTAGTAGTTGAATCCAAATAGACATCCTGCTAAATTGATCACATATATCAGTCTTGTACCTAGTTTCTGATCTAGACTTGTATTTGAAAACTTTGGATAGAAGAGTACATGCTTAGAGATTGATTTCAGAACATTTAGAGATTGATTTCAGAGCATATGAACAGGCCTCATCCCTTACCTCCCCCCAAATCAGTCGTTATACCATATGTGATATGCCTCAAGCCAGTCCTTGTCATTTCATAGCAGTTTCTTTGGTAAATGTGTATTGAAATCTTTGTTGCAAAATGGATATTTTGATTTTTTTCAAAATTTATACTTGTAATATGAAATAACAACCCACTTTAAAATATATGCTTTTATGCTCTGATAATAATATCAAATGCAACTGGACTAATTTTGTTATGATATGTAACATTCCTTGATTGGTTACAGACAAAATTTATTGGAAACATGCAGTACAAAAGTGAATTATTATTTATTGGAAAAATGTCATTAAATTTTCACAGATTTTTCTGATTGTTTTTCTGATTGATTGTTTCTGTTGAAGCTAGTTAGTATATGCAACAGTTATGACTATATAATATAAATGTATCATTTCATTATCTACACTAATTCTACAAAAAGCAGTGTTGCTTTTTTAAAAAAAAAAATTATTTTGAACAACATACTTTTTCTTTAAGATATTTTACTGATAAATTTATTGCTATATGTATGTGTTATCATCAATGGTTTTAATAAATTTGACATTAATTCATATGTACATAAAAATTTTCGCAAGGTCAAGTTACTGTTACACGAAGCATTAGTGACCTGAACTCTATTAGTGTTGAAGTAGATAGCGTGAACTCATCCCCTGGTGTTCCGAGAGTAAGTAATGAACTATATATACATACATATGTGTTTTCAGTATATTAATATGACATCATGCCTAAAATGCTTATTTTCTGGATGTTTAGGAAAACATTATTTTGGGATGTAAATCTGTAAATACATGTTTTGATAATTATTTATTTGAAGTAGGTAAAATAAATAATCATAAAATATGTTTTTATTACCTAGAGGAAGAACAGTTATGTCATTTTGAAAGTATTTTAAAATTTATGTTGAGTTTAATAAAAATTTTGGAATTTTTCAGAACTTCCAGAGCATTCTACTAGCTCTTTTTATAGTATCAAAGTATCTTTCATATCATTTTTATATCCTGTGCATTAGTTTGTTGAATTTCCTTGAAGGTCTTCCTTTTTTAATATATATATGTGTGTATGTAAAATAAAATATGTAAATCAAAATACTAACTTTAATTTGTAATAGTCTCTTAGCTTTCCATTTTAATATGGTTAACTCCATTTTCTATTCTAAAAGTATTAATTATTTGTAATATATATATATATCCAAACTGCATCATTTTAAAATTAATCTATGTCATATAATTCTTACCTGATGCTAATGATGCAGGCACTTATGTAGGTCTTCAGCCAGTAATGATTTTTAGTTCAAGAACCAAAACTTAAAATTAATCTAAACTGAAACTAAATCATTCTGAATAGGAATATCATCTTGAATACTTCACTGCTTCCAGCTTGCGAATGCCTACCTCTCCAAATACATTTTCAAAATCTATAAAATGCCTATGTAGTTCTTCACGAACAGGTGAACCTTTTGCACCAAGTTGTTTATGATTGTATATGTCAGTAATAAAAGAAATGTTCAGAAGCCTCAGCAACTGCTGCTATTTTATGCTTCAATTTCTAAATTGTTGCATTTTTATCACATATATATCTTTTCTATTTATGTGCTTGAGCTATATTAGTTATTTAAGATTTAATGTTTTTAATTATTATAGTTATCAGTAAAAAACACCAAAAGGAAAAACAGTTTTAAATTGAGTACTTATTAAGAATTTAAAAGGAAGTTATTGACTCGAATATCATATGTTTTTGCACATTAATTTAAACATTATGAGGTCTATTGCTGTATAATAGAGAAAGCAGATTGTCTTATAAATATTTGCAACAATAATTTTTTTCTTTTGAAGTTTTAACAGATTAAATAGGGTTCTTTTTTTTTTTTTTCTTTTATAGCCTAAATTTTATTGTATTAAATTTTGGCTGTGTTTCACAGTTGGTGTTTTTTGCTGATGAAGCATTGCAGTGCAATTTCAGTTAAAAGTCATTACTGTTTTAAATATTTCAAAATTATTTTCTAATTTTGATACATTTTTACAGAGGAACCTCACATAGACCCTTTAATTTAATTTATAATTAGAAGATTCCTCCATTCAGATCCCATCTGTTTTTACCCTATAGCAGTGATGGCAAACCTGTGGCACGCATGCTATTGTTGGCACGCAAAGCCTCATCATCCGGCACACAGCTAAAATATTACTTCCTTAATCAATAATCACAGTAACTTAATAAATTAATAAGTGTCTGTACAATTTAAATTTAATGTTTTAGTCTGTTCTTGAACATTTCACTTACTTACTTATCGCATAATGCCACTGGCATAGGTCCTATTATTACCAATAATTTTTTCCTAAGCCTGGATATAAGATTTTCATATATTGCCATAGAAATGAGATACATATTTATTGACCCAATTTATAACGTTTCAATTTTTTGGGCCAGTCATATTACTTGTCACATTGCAAAGAATACATCAACATTGAATCAGCTAATGTTTGCTAAACGAATTCAAATTTATTGCAGACTGTTGGTGAGTTTTAATACTTTCATTGTTAAATAAATTTTCTCTACTCCAGGTCTTAAACCCTCACAAATGACTCAAACAAAAAAAAAAAAAAAAAAAGTCAAAATTAAACGTTGATAGTGGAAAATCATTTCAAGAGACCTGGACAGAATCATTTGGAGTAATTGAAACCAATAGTAAAGCATTATGCATTCTGTGCCGGAAAAGTGTTGTGTGTCGCATATCTAGTGTGAGACGGCACTTTAACTCCAACCGCAATTTTTGTTGCCGAATTTGATGAAACTGAGCGGAAAGTGTTTTTTGAAAGGAAATTGAAGAATTATAATTACCAGGAAGATGGTTTTTGCAATTATCTTTTTAAAACAAACCATCTAACAATGACCAGCTTTCAATTCCACTGTGCTTGGCAAAACCGCTCTCCGATGGGGATTTAATCAAAGAGGTTGCCCCCCCCCAAAGGGCTTGGGACACGCGACTCCAAAAAGGTTCGCCACCACTGCCCTATAGCATGCATTTTTTATTTAAATTTTTTAAAATTAGTTTACAATCATTTGTTAAGAATTAGGACTGAAAGGTAGTATTCAGAAAGGGTATTTTCATATCAAGCCCAAATCACTGAGAATTAAACAATATAGCCTTAGAATTTTTCAAATGTATAGTAATGCGCAAAATGAGTTTAAAGCTTACTAAATACATTTTATTTATTTCTTATAATCTTTCAAGCAAATATTAATTAATAATGACAAAAATTCCATAAAATGTGTAATATTTGTTTGTTTATATATTATTAAATTCTAATTAATTAGTAATTAAATAAATTTGTTAATACAGTTATTTTCTGAGAACTGTTTTTTAAGGGAAGCTATTAATGGTATTTTTTAATTAATTTTTTGCTGTAAATTTATATCAAGAAATTTTGTGTCATAATTTTTATTAATTTCAGCAGAATCGAGATTATATCAGGTTGGCCAGAAAGTAATTTAATTTTTTTTTTTAGTGTGAAATAAAATTCAATTTTTTGCACAGAAAAAAAATTATTTTTATCAGTCAAATATCTTCCATTTTGTTCAATGACCTTCTGCCATCTTTCTTGTTACTTCATGATTCCACATTCTTAGAACGTCCTACCTTTATCAGCAAAAAAAAACTCAATCAAGGTCATCATTATTACTGAAATGTTTACCATTTAAGAAGTCTTGTAAACTTTGAAATAAATGATCCGATGTTGCACGCTTGGGGCTATATGGGAGATGTAACATCACTTCCCGACAAAGCTCCAATTATTTCATACATGTTGCTAAAGATGTGTGAGGCCTCCCATTGTCAAGGTGAGACATGATTCCTTTGCTATTTACCAATTTTGGACTTTTCTTTTTGATTCCCTCCTCCAATTTCATAAGTTATTGGCAGTAAACATCTGAGTTGATCATTTGCTTGCTTTGGAAGGAGCTCAAATTAAGAACACCTTTGTAATCCCACCAAATTGAAAGCATGATCTTTTTCTGGTGCAATTTAGCTTTCAGTATAATTTGTGCTGATTCATTATGCTTGGACCATGATCTTTTTTAATTAATATTATTGTAGACAATCCCTTTTTGATCATCTGTAATAATTCATTTAAAAAAATGGGCAAATGTATTACGTTTGAAATGCATCAATTTCAAATATTGATTTGTTGCATTAAGTGGATTTTTTACAATTCATGTGGAACCCAAATATCAAGCTTCTTAACAAGTCCAAGACATCTTATGTGATTTTGAATAGTTGTGTGTGATACATTTAACCCTTTTGCAATCTCTTGCAGAGTTATATGATGATTAGTTTTAATTTTGTCATCATTCACTTCAGAAAGTTGGTCAGAACATTGGTCATCTTTAAGTGAAAAGTCTTCAGAATGAAATTTTTTAAACCGATTTTGGCACATGCAATCTGTTAAGCAATCAACACCATAAACTTCCTATATCTGTCTGTGAGTCTCAGCTGCTTATAAAAATAAAAAAAAGTAAAATATGTCAAACAGGTTTATTTTTTCACCTTATTTTAAAATTGACTGTAAACTAACAGTTGTAAACAAAAATACCCAGAATTTGTTTTTGTACCAGCCTAAAAGTGTCAGCTGCCAAATCTTCATTAAAAAAAAAATTACAGAATTATCAGAAGAATAATCAAACAAACATAACACTATCTATTTGTGCAAACTAAAATTACCTTCTTCTCAACCCAATATATTATATTAATTGTAATTTTGTAATCATGTCAAATTTATATTAAGCTGAGTTAAAGTTTAAAGAATTCATTTTTTGATTCAAATATTAGCATATGCTTCTTAATTTATAATTGTACTACATGTATTTTCTAGATTTATTCCATGTAATTATGGCATAAAAAAAATCAATGTTTGATGGCTTTTCTCTTATGTTTTACATCATTTAGTAACCTCACATAAGGACTCAATTATAGTTGTTTAATGTTAAATAATAATTAGCTCTTTTTCTTTGATGTTTTCATCTTTTCATTCATTTAATTCATAACCTGATTTTTTTCCTCCCTTTTAATTCCGTAAATCTAGCAAGGTTTGCAATTTTTGGAATTATACAAATTCTGAAATTTTCAGTGTCCTGAACTCAGATATTCAGCTTTTTCTAAACTGGTAGGCTTAGACTGCTGGCTGCAACAATATTGAATTCATTTTCTATGCTTAAACATGAAATTTTATATAATCATTAGAAAGTTGCTGAATTTATAATATGATGCAGTAAAAAGTGCCATTGGTAAAGCTTTGATTGCCATTGTGCAAACTTCAGATATTTTATATATATTTCAAATTTAATCAGAAAATTTGGTGATTTAAAAGAAGTGTGTTGCTATCTTTACGATGCAATAAACAAATTCGGCGATTTAGAAGAACTGTGTTGCTGCTGCCTGAAATAAGATATTTAATTTTCCTCTCAAATTTATTCTGTTATTAATTAACAAACTAAATTTAAAATCAGTAAATGCAGATTCATTTCACTTATGATTATTTAGTAACTGGACCCATGAAATAATTTTAGCTGATTCATTAAAATAATCTACATGTATAAAGAAAAGTGTTCGTTTGTTTATCTATGTGTAATTCGTTATATATCTGAAGTATTATTCTGATCATGATGAAATTTTAAACACTTGACCTTCAAAACAAGAGGAAAATCACTATGTACATAATATTAAAAAAAAAAAAAAAAACACTGCACATGTTCCATCCTCCAAGTTAGAATGTTTCACTCATGCCACCCATCTTAGGTTCACATCTAGATTGTGATGCCACTATCAGTGGAAGTCAAACGTGCTAAACGAGGCATTTATAATTGTTTTTTTAACAAAGAATGAATATTAATATCTGTACACAGTGTCAATTTGGAAATCACATTGCCATTGTTGTGTTCCTTCTATTAGTTCTTATTAAAACCATTAGATGACACCTTATTTGTTTACTCATTAAAGCAGAATTGAAGTCCATTTTCCTATCACCTTTTTGTCAAACATTTCAAAAATGGTGTAGAAATTCTCCATAGTAAATTGGAATTTTCTGAAAAAGACATAACCAATAACAAACCAAGTACCAGTTCTTATTAAAACCATTACACGGTGCCATGTTTGTTCTGCAGTGTTCTACAGTTTTATTTGAGCTTAATTAAATTTTGTGCAATTCACTTTTAACCAAAATAAAAGGAAAATCATTGTCTACCTGAGGTTTCAGAAAAAACTACACCCATTCTTCAAAATAAAGAGTTTTCACTCTGTGTAAAGCCCAGGTAATTCTGGGTACTTCAGCTACGGAGGTATACTGTGATATTATGCTGTAGGTACAGTGTGCCATCGATCATCGATATAAACCGTTGCAAAGATGGAATGAAAGAGAAACAGGCACATTCAGTTATATGAATACTTTTAATACTAGTTACTTATAAGGCATTCTTTTGCAGAAGCATCCAGAAGAGGAAATAACTGTTGAATCTCTTAAGAGAATGCTTGCAGAATCTCCAACTGCAAAACGCCAGGCAGAAGATGAACGTCGATTGCGCATAGTAGAAGAATTCAGAACTGCTGCATTTGAAGATCTTGTTGCAAAAGCTGAACAGCAGGTAGTGCTTTTCTTTAAATTTGTTTTAATCATAATAATATTAATTTTTCTCCCATTATCCTGTGCAGTGTGGATAAAGTTTTCTCTAAAAAATTGCAGAAATATTCCATATCAGGTTTTTATTTGTTGAATCATGTTCAGTCAAGTCCCACTTAACTAGGCCATATCTACAAAAAAGTAAAGTTAGTTCGTTGGAAAATGATGAAAAAATTATTATCACATTATTATTATGAAATAAAATTATCTGCAGAAAATAAAAAAAGAAAAAAAAAGTGTATGGAACTGCAGCAGTGATAGCAGCAAATGATGTCACAATATTTGGGAGCTATTTTTATTTACAACAGTATGTAATTTAATTGCACATAATCAATATTATGTAAAACATTGTAGAGTAAAAATCAAAAAATTCTAATTAGTTTTTTACACAAGTTTAAACTCATTGACATTGTTCAAGTTCACTTGCAAATATAATTCTTTAGTACCATTCATACTTAGCTTCATCATTTTAATGATGTTTATTCTTCCATTATTTACAGCATTTTTTTTCCCTATAAAATACCAATTTCTAATATATAGCCAAATGAAATTCTCCTGAATCAAATGCTTGAAAATACAGGTAAATTGTAAATAATACATTTATGTTAATTATATCATGAATGATTCCACATTCGTATGTTTTTTTAACTACCCAAAGTCAACCATAGACATCACCTCAGGTATCATCTGGTAAAGGCAGAGTTGACTGTATAAATGAAACAAATTGATCTTAAATCATAAAAAATAAAGATCAGTTTAACTAATAAGTTTGTATATTAAATTGCAATTTCATATATTTATTACTGTAAATACAAAGAAATAATGAAACTGTTTTCTCATTTGGTGTGAAATAACTGTAGATAGGGAATGGGTATCTAAGGACAGTGAAAATATCAGTTTTACGTGCATCCCAATGATGTACTAATGGTATAACTGGATATCTTGTGGCTTATATTCAGGCAGTAATCAAATTGTCTCTATACATATTGCAAAAAGTCAAAATCTTGAAGTAGGAATGGCAGATACATAGCAGCCTTGAGATATTTCTGTAAAAAATTAGATGCTTGCAAGGTGATCTATGCAGCTAATACCAAAGCATCTACAGTAAGTCCAGCAATGAAGTAGATTTTGCGTTTAGGGGATTTCAGAACAAACTTGATCTCCTCCTGGCCACTGTACCTTTTTCATTCTTCTATAATGTATAGTTATTTTTTACCATAATGGTGCATAACCTTTCTTCACATGGAATGGAAAAACATACATCACCTAGAAGTCTGTAGAAATGAGGGGAGGGTTAGTCATTGATGGGAAAAAAGAATACTTTAAGCCATTGTCATAGTGTTGACATTGCAATGAATTATGATATCATACTGTTTCCAGTTCATTTGATCAGTGGAAAGAAAAGAAATATTCAAAAAATTGCTGAAGATTTTCCAGTTAATATATTTTATAAATCCAATTTTTAAAGAATATAGATGTTTTTATAATCTGTAAAAATTTTAAGAAAATATGAGAGCAAGCACATATCAACACAGGAAATTAAAATTGTTAAGAATGCAGTTACAAAATAATTAATCTATTTTTAAAAAATTGCCAAAAATTGGTTAAACCAAGCTGGAAATTCATAATAAACTTCATTTAAAGATTATTTTCCAACTTGTCTGATGGTTCATATTTTGAAATTCTGCTATGATTAGTGAAGTGATTAAGTGAAAGTATCCATAAAAATTCATAAAAAGTTACTCTGGCAGTGAGTAATTAGAATTTAAAAAAAATCATATTAAGGAGTGGGAAAGTACATTGAAGTGCATATGGAATAGCCTCAAGAATTTGTGTATGATTTTTTTAGTCCTGGGGCTATCTGTCTTTGCACTATGTGATAGATACATGTGTAGACTCTTTCTGTTATTTCAGTATTTGTGAAAAGTCATTTCATTTTTTTAATTCCCCTGTTTAAAATATGCATGTACTACTGCAGATGTAGATTAAAGAGCACTGTTAGCAGGGTTTCCACGCTACCTGGAGAACCGGGAAAAGTCAGGGAATTCGAAAATTGACCAAAATATTCAGGGAAAAGTCAGGGAATTTAAGTATTTTTGTCAAAATCTGGAAAAGTCAGGGAAGTTCATACAACGATCCCGCAAAAAAAAAAAAAAAAAAAAAAAAAAAAGAGAGAGAGAGAGATTTTTGCGCCGACGTCGGAAGAGGTAACTTTTTTGGCGAATTATGCATCACGTGAGTGTCATTCGGGTAGCTGGCATAGAGCCAATTTTCGCAGCTCCAATTTAATTGTCTTTTAGAAAGGCAAAGCAACTTTTGGTTTCCAGTATTCTCGAGAATCGTATGTGCAGTGCATGAACTAAAGAAAGTACCTGTTCTCGTATAAAACAAAATGGGTTTAATCCTAGTATACGGTACTATGGAGGTTAGAATCAAAGAATATGTATTGTAAAGAAGGAAAACCTCTCTGCAACAGACGTGGCTGTGGCTCCGTTTCCATCATAGGGAAACTGCTGTGGCATGTCTGATTATCTGTCACCAAAGCTCGAAACCGGTGTCGAAGTTCGAAGGTCACGTTATCAAGAGTTCATAAAATGAATATCGTTTTAAAATTTCTTTAACCACTTGCGCTAAAAAGACGTGCCACGCACGTCAAGATGCTTTTGTCTCAAACCGCGAGCGACGTGAACACCACGTCGATAAGCATTTATCGCATAAATGAAAATAACGTGGTGCACACTGTTTATTTCTCGAGTTACAGCTCTGGATTGCACTCGCAGATGCGGAGCGGCGTAAATGAGACACTTTACCGCTTGTTATATTGTAGCGCACGGCACCGTAACCGTGAAGTTTAGTCTTAGCGCAAGTGGTTAAACTCTAAAGGAAAAGAAAATATTTTTTGGCGCAAGTAAATTAATTCATGGATTAGTTATTTTCAGAAAAAAAAAAAAAAACTATGAAAATCCGTTTTTAAAATTATTGCGAAAAATCCAAGAAGAAACGTCCTTTGATAAAACGTTTTCTTCTTGGATTTTTCGCAATAATTTAAAAACGGATTTTCGTAGTTTTCTTTTTGTCAAAGAGCGTTTCTTCTTAACACGCGTTTCTCAATTTCCTGTACACATCGCGGAGAGGGAAATTCTGACCGCCAGGTTCCGTCGCCAAATCCCTTGGAAAATTTTCCCTCCGCATTCTAGCGGGCGTAATAGCTTTTTTACTTGTATGGAACCTTTTCTTCTTTACATAGACGTTCTTTGGTTAGAATAATAATGGGATTTGGCGACATCTTGATGCGCAGTAAACGGGTCATTTTGGTCTTGGCGACAATTTTTCAAAATCGTGCCAAAGCCTTACCGTATACTAGAATTTTACCGCAAAATCTTTTTAAACCTTTTTTTTTTTTTTTTCTTAATAAATACCTTGCCATTTTGTGCAGTAAAATAAAAAAATAGTAATCATCATCTAGGCTAACATGTAATATAACTATATTCGCTAAAATATAGATGATTATTCTAATTCAATTTTTAAGTAATTATTTTTATGTTATTCATATAAGTTAATGTTGCTTCTTCCTCTAAATTTATTTATTATTAGTAAATAATATTTCCAATTTCAGGAAATTTTCTCTGGCATAATCCTGAAATTAATTATAGCAGTATGATGACATACCATCACGAAATTTAATGCACATATTTTTCCTATGTATGCTGCAAAATAAATATAAAATATCTCAATTTATTAAAATAGATTTTCTTTCTCTCGTTAGCTGCAGAATGTCTGCAAAAAAAAGCCTTATTTTATTCCAGATTGGGAAGATTCTAATCTCAATCTTCAGTGGAGAAACAACAACTATTATAATTATATTTGTGTTTCAAGTTGTTAAGGTTTTAAGAACATACCTCACGCAAATTAAATTTACCTAAAATCTAACCTAACTATTTAGCATTGCGTTGTGATTTATAAGGACCGGATTAGCCTCGTGTTGAACTGGTAATGATCATGAGTAATAATTAAATAAAACATACATTTGTTATCCAATATATATATCTTACATTTTATTAAGTTTTTTCTTAAGTGGAAAACTAAACAAATTATCAAACAAAGTATACCAAGAATAATTAAGAATAAATGTCCTCTGGGATTTATTGAATAATTAAGTGAATTTGCTACACACAATACAAGTAATACCATAATAATTTACCTCTTAGCACAGCCAACGTACATTACGCGGATAGACTGGAATTTTCTTGAAACACACCTGGAAAACCTGGAAAAGTCAGGGAATTTCATTCTCCTGTTTGAGTGGCAACCCTGTGTTAGTGACATTTACTGTTCTTCATAATTTTCAAACTTTAATTAAAACATAATGGTTAAGTAATTGTAGTAGAGATAGCAATTAATTAACTAATTTTAATTTGTCAATTTTATTTCCTATATTATTAAAAGCCATAGAAATTTCCTTTGATATATAGTCATAGGAATGTCAAATAATGCTTGTAGTGGCAGATTTATGAGGTGAGGAGTGCATCTCACCTGAACTTTGGGAGCCCTCATCAGAACACCAGGTATTTTTTAAACATTAATGATTCATTTGGAAGCCCTCTGCAGTTACAATTTGCACAATCCCATGAATTTGAATATGAACTCATATATACAGTACAAAGTCCAAGAGACTAACGTTCAGTATCCAAAATGATCTGGAATCTGGACCTCAAAACCACCAACAACCTCTCTCTGTCTTTTTTTTATTATTATTTTGTATGCTTTGTGCATGCACATTTTTCCCCCATAATAAAACATCTGGAGAATCCTGATTCTTAATTTCACTTAGGCACTAAATAAAATACCTGGTTATTCAAGAAGCAATAATTTTAGCATAAATTTGTGTGATCAATAATTTGGCTCCGTAGCTGCATAACTGCTTGGCATATATCCCAAACCGAAACATTCTATATAGAAACATTGTTGATTTTACACTGCTAATTAGTATTTTATATCCCTGACGCCAACCTGGCCAATCATTATTAGATTTTCCTTTCATCCCCGCATGTTTATCAACACGTGGTAACTTGAGTAATGACTCATGCAGCGATGTTTAAATAGTTTTTTTTAACATTAATAATTGAATAGCAAAAAATATGGTAACCTTTTATGTTGACATTACGCTTGGCGATGATTACAAATTTAAGTTAAATGCGCTAAGAAATGTTGACGAGGTAAATTTTAACAAAAATTTCTTTCGATATGCTAAAAAGAGATTTTGTTAATGATACTCATAGACCAAAAGATTACATTTAGTGCTATTTGAATTAAGAATTATAGGACTTGAACAGCGGAACTTTGTAACTAAACAAGAAATTATGTCTGTTTAATAGAATTAAAGAGAAAGTACTATCACATGACACGAAGCAACTTAAACAACTTACATTGAAAGGTTTAATAAAGTAAACAAATAAATATTAAGCTTTTTCTTTTTGTAAATTTTATACCCTTTAGATCATAATTTCTTTATTTCATAAATCGGTTTCATACTTTTAATTTTGTAATTTCTGCATGCCATCTTACCAGATTTAAACTGATGATCTATAATCCGGAATCGCCAAAGTCCCGACGAGTCCGGATTAACAACTTTTGACTGTATGTGGAAAAGTTTCGAATTCTGCAACTGCAAAAGGATATACAAAGCAAAAGCTTGTTTCGATGTGCATTAAACAAAAAATAGGTAAAGATATATCCGTCTCAAAATTATAGGAGGAGTATGGCATTAGAAAGTTAACTGTATATGACATAAGAAAACAGAAATAGAAATTTTTTATGATTCTGACACCCCACTCACAAATGAATAAGAGAAAAATTATTCCTTATGCTAGAAGTGAGGATTATGACAAAGTGATGATTGAATGGGTCAGATAAGGTCACAGCGAGGTCGTACCTTCGACAGATAAGAGTCCTAGTGGCTCAAGCCAAAATATTTCATGAAGAAATGAACTTAAAATGTAAATGTACATATTCAGCAGATTGGTTATCCAAATTTAAAAATCATCATGGTATAAGGCAGTTAAAAATTTCAGGTGGAAAAACTTCTGAACTATTTGTAGGCGAATTCATTGAACTTATAGTGAAAAGTTATCTCCATAACAAATTTGCAACACTGATGAAACTGGTCTTTTCTGGCACTCCAAGTAGTGTCAAAGATTTTAAAGTGAAACTAGCAACTTTAGCACATGTAAATGCTGCAAAACACACAAGTGTAAACTCTTCTTAATTGTAAAAAATGCACAAGCTCGAGTATTTAAAGATGTAAAGAATTTCATCATTATATCGTGAAAATAAAAGAGTATGGATGACACAAGTGTTAATTAATGATTGGTTTGAAAATCATTTCATACCCGAAGGTCGGCAACATTTGAATTCGGTTCGTTTACCTGATGACGCAAAAATTTTCCTGATTGTAGACAACTGTTAGGCTCATACTTCACTTAAAGTTTTAGTGAAAAATAATGTATCCACATTATTCTTTCCTTCAAATTGTACGTCCATCATTCAGCCTATGGATATCGTAATAGTGTGTACATTGAAATGCAAATATAAAGTAGCATTTTTAAATTCCATGTTAAATTTCTTGAATAATGGCAAGACTGATCAAGAATTTTTTAAATATTTTAGCTTAAAATCTACTGTGTGGAGCATTGCAAGATTGTGGGAGCACATGCCTTGAAATACTTTTAAAAATGCTTGGCATAATGTATTGCCAATTACCATATTGCATAGGTGAAATTTTCCAATTATTGGATTTTGTAAAGAAATGTGGAAAAGGGGTAATAAATGAAGAATGTATAACAAAAGTTTTTCAGTACGTTGACAATGCCCTAATCATCAATCAATTAAGGGACAGTGAAATCTGTTGTATGGTTCTAAATGCAGAAAATACTGCTACCGATAGTGAAGAGAGTTACAGAGAGGTTACTGTAAATGAAAAAAAAATTTCTTTGATAAGTTAGTCGGAATTCTTGACACGGCGATTACAGGACTTGAATAAAATGGAACTTTGTAACTGAACAAGAAATTATATCTGTCTGTAGAATTAAAGAGAAAGTATTAGCACAGATTACAAAGCAAATTAAACAACTTACATTCAAAATAATGTTTAATAAAGTAAACAAATAACTATTAAACCCCTTTTTTTTTTTACATCCTTTACATCATGAATGCTTCATTATTTTATAAATCATGATTTCATACTTTTAAATTTTTAATTTCTACATGCCATCTTACTAGATTTAAACTGATGATCTAATATTCGGAAAAAATCCCAAATTTGGAATCGACGAGTCCGAATCCTTGCACTTTGTACTGTATTGTATTTAAGGTTTTTCATTTGATGTCAGTTTTAATTTTGTTTACTTTATCTGATTAATTTGTTTACTAATTTTAGACTGTAGATCTACAGAATAAATTAAATGAGATATTTGGAAAAGTACCAGCTGCTGTTGATATTTCTTCTCGACCGAATTCTCCACATCCAAACAGCAGAGATGAACACAGACAAATGCCTTTGGCTCCTCCTGTTTATAATATAAAGTTTCCCAGCCATTTCATTTACTAAAAACTTGTTTTAACTCATTTATTTTTCAAAATGCATAAAAATTTCTTCATAGGAAAAAGTGTATTTATATTTCTCGTAATCCATATTATATATTCTTATGCCCAAGGTATGACATTTTTATTTATTGAAAGTATATAGAATATATGTATATATTTAAAAATGTTTTGAATGTTTTAACTTGAGAATTCAAATTTACTAATTTAACAGAGAATATTTTTGCACATTTATGCTTGGTATTTTTTCTTATGTGCATTTTTTGTTTATTAGTTAGGTGATATTTGATATTACAGAAACAACTAATATTAAAAAATAATTATGTATTTAAATATTAATTTGCTTATATAATCTTAAATATCAATGTATTTTATATTTTTTATTTGCTGATGAGGGGTAATACATGAGGAATGTAATTTAGGATTTACATTAACAATCTTTTAAACTGAAAAGTAATTTCAATAAATTGGTTAGAAATCTTAGAAATGCATACTTTAAATTAATATTGTTTGTTACATTACAAGCAAATTTTTTTTAATGATTTTTAATGTTAAGTTGCATTTTTCTCTTGAACTGTATTTCCCCTCCCCCTCTTTATAATAAACCTATTTTGCAAAAATTTCTTTAATTATGTTATGGTTTATACATATATGTCTAGAATCACAGTGTAGAATTTATTTCCATATGTGAAGTAATGCTATCACGTTGCTATGCAACAAAAATATATTTGGAACACACTGTTCAAAATTGTGCATAGTATCTCAAGCAAATATTAAATATAAAATCCTTTCTTATAGTAACCATCTTTAAAATTCAGAGAATAATCTTCCATTATATGTCTAGAACATATTCTGATACTGCACTTTAAGCTATTTATTAATAATTCCTTTATTTATGATTTGAAATGTATATATTAAAAAAGTGTTTGGCTGTGTAAAAATCCATTTAAATTCTTGTGCTCAAAAGATAAAACCCAGGGGCAGGAATAAAAAGTTTCCAAATAAATTATAGTATTTTTTCTCAGTCATTATTTTCTATTATATATATTATATATATATATATATATATATCTATTGTCTTAAGTTTATTTTATAAATATTCTGATAGGTTCTGATTATCTTAAGTTTGTCCTATAAATATTCTGATCGGGAAATATTCTCATCTCTTTGGGAGCAGTTGCCTAGATGAGTTTTCTGATTTTTCACTTGATTAGGGGAATATAATTTTTAGCTGTAAATTCAGGCATATACTTAATTGTTCTGTTGAGAATAAGGAAAAAAATAACTTTTATGTAACTTTGCTGAATTTTCAAAGCGTATATTGATATGGATTTATTATTCAGTATCTCTATAAACTTACTATTCACTATCATCTATAAATATTTATCTTCTTTGCTTGTATTTAAAATCCCTTCATATTTATTCAGTTGCTTAAAAAAAGATTTTCTGTATTTATATATTTATCTTTAAAACTGTGATTTTGTAAATATTCTTGTTATTGTTGAGTATTTAGTATTACATTAAAGAGATTATATATAGAGAGAATATAGTGTTGGACATTTTAATTTTATTTATTTATTATTTATTGCTTTCTTAAAGATTTTGTCGAGGTATATAGCACTTTGATGTTCTAATTAAAAAAAAAAAAAAAGTTTTTTTTTCTTTTTAATATAAAAGATTTTGATTTATAGGAAACCAGCACTCCATCAATTTGATTTAATGGACATAGTCATATTTCTGTATTTTCATACACAAATTTCTTGAAATTGACTTTATTTTCATTTTTCAAATATATTTTATTTTTTTTAAATTATCAGCATGAAGGGTATTTTTAAGGAATGAATTTATTTCATATGCTATCCATAATACAAGAACACTGTTAGTTCTTAATTAAATATTATATGTCTATGCAGTGCTTTTTAAATTTACACCTTCTGTTATCTCATATTTATTATGTAATTATTTTAGATTTGTGTTTCTTATCATGTTTTTGATTTTGAACAAGCACACTTAGTGCACTGATGAATGTAGCTTTCTGTTCCAATCATTGTATTGTTTTATATGTGTACGGATTGTAGTACTGTTGTAATTAAAATTAATTGAAAAGATTTCCATGTTTTCATTAGTCTTATTTCCAAAATTGAGATATATGTATATGTTGCATTGAGTATAATTAAACATACATCTAATCATGTAACTAAAAGCTTTTCTGATCACAACAAAAATACAAGTAAAAAGGTTATTGAAATATATTTGATCTAGGGTTAAACAGAAGTATTAGTTCCTTCTTTTGAGTGAATCCTCGCCGACATGATCCTCACAGACGGAGTTAGCTGGAAGTAATCTGACATCACTGTCTTGCATCAGATTTGATTTCGTGCATTTAAAACCATAATTCCTTTCTGCTATGAGGTAATGTTTTAGAGATGTGCATATCCCAAATTAATTTTAATCATATATATTTGTTTTCTAGTAATGCAAATGTAAGATATTACAAAATATGATGGCTGCTTTAAAAATAATTGGTGACCTCAAAATTAACTGTTCTAGATTTGGTGCTTTTCCCTAAACTCATCTATTCTCCTAAATTTAAGATCCTTCCATGTTATATAAACACCTAAAATTAACCAGTCACAGATTAGCTGCATGTATACATCAAAGTTAGTATGAATACTCTTGGCATATTAAACTATGTCATTCCTTTCCCTAGCTTTGCCCACTGTTAATATATCCCCACTGCTAAGCCCACTTGCCTAAAATGACATAATATCCCTCTATCTCTGTATATAAGAAGTATTGTAATTCATTATGAATGGATAAATGTCTACTAAGATGGCTTCATATGCATGAAAATAAAGATTTGGACTTCTTCAAAATTCGTTTGTGTTGCCTTCATCTGTCTGTCTTTCCACGCATTAAATTATCACACATATATCAGTAAATACATAAAATAAGAAATTTAGAACCAATTTTACAAAGACCAAAATTTTAAATTCATGAGTAATAAATTTCATAAAATAAAATTTCTTACTTTATGTCTTTACTGATATTTTTCAGCTGCTTTATGCACAAAAATACTAGACATGGTTATATTAAATTTTAAAAAATTGTATTGTAATTGCACACATATATATGTTTTAGTCGGTTTTATTTTTAAATTTTATATTGTAAAGTATTGTTTATGTAATATGTGTGATATGGCTTCTTGCTCTGTAGCAACATCCTGTAATGTTTACAGAAATAAGAAAGGGAAAGATATTTTATTTCATGTTTTCCAAAGGACAGTTTGCTTTTGACGAAAGAATGGATACATCAGTGTCTAAAATGGGATTCTATTAATGTGAAGGGTGCAAGAATTTGCAGTGAACATTTTCTATGAAATGATTATGATGACATGAAAAATTGCTTACTTGAATTGCCACCAAAGAAACTGTTAAAATCCATTTATATGCCAGAAGTAAATTTACCATCTGCATTAAAAGAAATAACATCAAGAAATTGCAAATAAGAGAAAAGAAAACCAATGCAGAATACATTTGAAAGATTATACGAATTAAGTCCAAAGAAAATTCATATTTAGGAAAGTATATGAAATTGATGATGACAGTAATAAATTGGATGTTAAAGATTTTGAAATAAAGCTAAAAAATGGCAGTGTAAATATCCCTGAATACCCTAAGTGTAAAGATAAACAAGAATGCATAGATAATTTGAAGGAGGAAATTAGAAAAGGAAATTCTTAGAAAATTATATTGAAAATGAAGAAAAGAAAACTTTTAGAATATTTGCTCAGTGACAAAGAGGATAAACGACATCTAGAAAGAAATTTGTATCAGAAATTAAAATCTCAAATAGTGAAATTTAGCGGGGGATAAAAACGCACAGATTGGAGAATTTGGAAGATTGTCTAAAGTATATTTTTACAAAGAAGCAGATTAACGCATTGCCAGTAAAGAAGGAAAAAGTCAAATGGACTAGGGAAGATATTTCACATTTCATTGTCATAAGAGCTCTATCGTCTAAAGGCTACGATTTTTGGGAAGAAAAAATGAGAATTCTTTTGCCTAGTGCTAGCACATTAAAGAGATGCTGCCTTTAATTATGTAACCTAGGAATTCAGAGTGATGTGCTTGCTAAAATGAAGGAAAGATGCAAACATTTGGATTCTGCAGAAAAAAGGGGGGAAAATGTGTTGTCACTTTTGCCAAAATCTCAGTTTTGTAGTTCATATAGATTGAAAGCTCGGCTGTAATTCTAAATTGGACCAAATTCCTAGTCCTTTTCAAAAAGTGAAGTTTCTCTTAGTCAGTGGTCTCATTTTATAATGGAAGCAACCAATATATTTTTATTTTAACACTCTGATGAAGAAAAGACTTCTCCTTTCACTCATAAAACATATGCAATCATCTGGAGTAGAAGCGAAAACCGTAATGCCTGACTTAATATTCAGTCATTACTGAATATGACATTACTGAATATTCAGTCATTACTGAATTAATAACTCCTAGAAGGATCTAGTACAGACGTCAGCAAACATTAAAATATAATAATAATATAATAACGTAACGTAATAGATATTGTTCCAATGTCAAAGCAAAATACAGGCTGATTAATCTGGTCGCACGACAAATTACAACATCAACATCGGCTGATCGAGACCCATGCAGTGAAAGAAGTCAGGAAATATCAGCTGGGAGACGATGGCATTAAACCCGTAACTGATTTAATGGAGGCCTCAAACAGAAAAACATACCTGGCAAGACATTTCGATCTATAGTCCAACAACAAAACAATACTGGGCTCTTCACAATTTGTGAGCTTTTTGTTAAATATAATATCACGTGAACAGATCACACTATTAGTTTCTTTGATCCATAGTCGGTATCTTTCGTCTCCATCATAACCAATTAAATACGCTTTTGTAGCCTTATTATCCATTTTCCTTCTTCTTTGTTTAGGAATATGGGCATAACACACAGATCCTACTATACGAAGATGCTTAATTCGAGGTTTCTTTTTAAACCATAGCTCATAAGGACTCATGCCTTCTACTGATGATTTGCCAGTTCTGTTTAGTACATATATGGCAGTGTTGACTAGTTCAGCCCACATTGCTGCAGGAAAATGAGCTTCAGAATTTGAGTACTTAAATGTTCTTTGCCATTTCGATTATTGTACGTATGTCTCTTTCACTAGAGCCATTTTGTTCAGGAGAATAAGGTGCTGTTAGTCTTTGAGTTATACCTTCAGAATGCAAAATAGCACGCACTTTGTCATTGTCAAACTCGCCTCCATTATCGCTGAGAAATTCTTTGACTGAATGTCCTAAAATTTTAGCGTGTGCAAGCATGTGTTGTAACATATTTACAACAGCAGATTTTTCCTTGATAAAATACCCATAACGAAACTTTGTGTAGCTATCTTTAAACACAACTAAGTATCTTTTCTTCTGGAAAGATTCATCAAAAGGTCCACAGACATCAGCTGAAATTAATTCACCAGGCTTGCTGGCTGGCTTTCTTATGCCCAAATGGTAAACGGTGTGCTTTGCCAAAAATGCATGGTTCACACAATTTTCTTTCAAATGGGATTTTAATTCCTAATTCTTTCTCAAGCATGTTCTTAATGTGACGTTTATCTTGATGTCCCCATCTCTGATGATATAACTCTAACAAGGAATTGTCTGCTTCAGCAGCATGCACTTCTATAATTTTATCAGGCATAATAGGTTCGATAGCTGCCTTGTATAAAGTACCATATACTTTGCGAGTTCCAAAAAGCACTACTTGACCATTAACCTTTAACCAGCATTCTGTAACTGTTGAAATAAATTTACTATTCGGATTTCTATCTTGAGCAGCAAGTAAAGAAAATAAATTTCTGTTTATCTCAGGGACATACCAAACATCTTTAAGGTAAATTCTTTGGATTTTACTACCAATAGTTGTTTTGACACATACTGTACCTTTACCAAGAGCAACTAAAGTTTCTTTTCCAGCAGCCTTGATGCTACAGGGACTATCAAACTTCATAAAGTCAATAAAGTATGTGAAACAATTCATGATATGTCTTGTAGCTCCACTATCAATCCAAAAAGATGTTCGATCAGCCTTAGCCTCTTCGTCAATGGACATCAGTATTACACTGCCTGTATTTCCTTCATTGGTTTTCGTCAACCTATTCTTGGGTGGTCTTCCATCAGCAATCCACTGTTTACAATCTTTTACCCAGTGTCCTTTCTTTTTGCAATAATTGCAAATATCTTCTTTTCTTGGTTTTCTTCTGAATTTGTCTTTTTTATATTGCTTTTTTTTTTTTTTTTTTTTTTTTTTTTTTTCAGATTTTGACATTACTAATGCCACTTGTTCATTTGTATTGCCTTTCTCATGACTTTTAAATTCTCTTTCATGAGAGCAAAGCTGTGCTGTTAACTCATCAACTGTTCTTTTGTCTTCACCCAAGAGTAACCAACTTGACTTAAACAAATGGTATTGTCCTGGTAAGACATCTAAAATCTTGCAATTGAGTAGCATGTCAGGTAACTTATTTTCATTTTTCTTTTCAAGTCCTGAATTCAACTCATTCCATAAGTTTTTTAATTTGGAAAGATGAGCCGCCATATTATCATTTTCATTCCACTTGAATTGAAAAAATTGCATGCATATATTATACAATTGATTTTCTGATGATGCTTCAAATAACTTATGTAATTCCAACCACACTTCTCTAGCAGTCTGAAATCTCATAACTTTTTGCAGAGTTTCTTTCTTCCGTCATGGAATTCGTTAATACCATCATAGCACTAGTGTTTGCATTTTGAAACTTCTTAACAGCTTCATTATATTTCTCTTGTTGAGCAATCGGAGCATCTACAGGAAGAATTTCTGGTTTCACTATAGTTCCTTCTACAATTTCTAAAGCACCAGGATGATAATTTAAAACAAATTTTATCCTGTATTTCCATATAAGCCAATCGCTTTCACCTGATAAAGGCTTTACTTGGACCTTAGATAATTCCATACTTTGATTTCTAAACAACTTTCGATTGCTATAACGAAAACAAAACACTTACTTGATTAGGCTTAACGAGTTCCGTTTCTTCGAGAAAACATCAATTCAAAACATTTGACGCAATATGGGAGCTTGCTTGACCCATAACCTAAAAAAGTATTTCTTAAAAATACATAACCTAAAAAGGTATTTCTAAAAATAAAGAGAAAAACAAATAGCAGAGCAAAAATACGATGCTTTTATTGGAATTACAAACTATAGCTATTTTTGAACGACAGTATCGCGAAGCACGATCTCCTGATGACGACAACACTCACTGTTGCCAGAACTTATCTAAACTATATATTATATTATTATTATTTTTATTAACATACTTTAATAGTTTACATTTGCCAGCCATCTTAAAAAGCAACGTTTTCAAAAAAAAATTAATCCATTATTTTTAAGATATTTTTTTTTAGTTTCGAATCTTTACTGCGTAAAATAGGTAAAAACAGCATTTTTCAAGATGGCTGACGACTGTAAAAACCGCGCCAACAATTGCGCGAATGTAAATCGCCAAAAATCCGTGCAACTGTTAAGTAATACCCTTTCTCGAAATCAAAAAGAGATATTTAATAAATATTAAATGCACGCACTCTTGTATTTTCATTTTTCCGGCTTAGCTTTCTTTCAATATTCGTCACGCGCTGCACTGCGCGGGAAATAAAACCATTTAATTTACAATTCAACTAACATAAGCTATTTAAATGCCAAATCCGTAACACTGCCCCCTTCCCAAGGACTGCACGTCCCGGGCAGTACAATCCCTGGACAGGAAGGCAACTTACAACTAAGCCATAAATACAATAATAAGCATTACATT